GCAGAAAATATTGGAATTGTAATTAAGCATATCTGCTGACACTAGCAAAAGGCATATAAAAAAAAGATTGCTCTCTCAAATCCTCCAGATCTTTTGCTTGTTCTTTCCAGTTTAATGGCACATTGTAAATAAATTATGTAAATAAATTATGTAAAACCTTTGTCAGAAAACAGAATCCACATATTGGGTGTAGTGAGCTAAGCAAACAACAGAAAGACTGACTTCTAAAATAGGCTGGATCTAGCAAAGAATTGAAGAAGAAAACATTCCAGAAAAAAAATCCAAATGCCCTATGGGAGATAAAGGAAGGCAGCTTGGAATGCTACAACGCTTACTTCTTAAACATCCCTTCCCCCAGGCCAGAACTGCTATGAAGGTGGAAAGCATTCCAGAACTCCTGCTCTATCAGGTTTCCATAGACTGTCATGTCCTTCTCAATGCACCTCAGTGGTGGGATTCAAATAATTTAACAACTGGTTCTCTGCCCTAATGACCAGCTGCGTAGGCATGGGTCGGTGGCCATGTGACTGGGTGGCCGTGGCCAACTCAACATCACTCACGTCGATGGGCGCTTCTCCTTAGCTGTTACAATGTAATAAGGGTTAACTGGAGAGGCAGATTCTGTAAGCAGAGCAATAAAGATGAAGCTAGAAACAACACCAGAATGTTTCCTTCCTGGCTTCCTTACAGGATTAGCCCTGTAAAGTGGAAAAAAGATAAAATGAGATTTCTTCCAACAACCGGTTCTCCAAACTGCTTAGGAAGTTATCAACTGGTTCTTGCGAAGAGGTGCGAACTGGCTGAATCCCACCACTGGTGCACCTAGTCCCAGATACACAAACACATAGAACATAAAACGAGAATAGAAGCTTACTTAAACAAAAATGCAAAAGACACCCTGATCATATCTCAGAAAGAAAAAAATACACACATCAATAAACATACAGAAACAATGAATGGAGGGAGTGGAAATACATATTCCAGATGCATCTATGCACACACAGACACATAGATACACCCATATAGAGGCAACTATCTATGGAGAAAAGTGCGAAATAGGCTATTAGATACAGCATGTTGGAAGATTAGAACTATATGGATACAACAGGATAGAGAAGAAAAAAGGTATTTCCTATGGGTCTCATGGTTAAAGATGTTAGAAAGAATTCCAGACAATATCGTATGGTATAACTTCATGCATTTTGAAAGTGTATTATTGATAATTTTACTACGGTCTATTGGTCCGTAGAATGCAGCTTTTCCTTTGGTGCTTCTGAGACTTATTTGTAGATTTTTGTAATGATGCTGAGGCAAGATAGTAATTTCTGATGGGTACCAAAGTTTAGGTAGATATATATTGCATTTAATGACAGTCAAAGGTGATGGTAGTAAAAGGGGAGGAGAGACCTCTGGTGCCATTGAAGCTGCTGCTGGATATTAAGGATTTTGCCAGAAGTAGTGGTGGAACATAAACCATTGAAGCTCCAGAACAGTTGGCAAGAAGCAGCCTTGTGGGAAATAGACTCCTAGAATAGCGTGATAGTAATCAAAGTCAGTATGGAAACCATAAGTGACACCGGAGATGGAGATGACTAACTCGATAGGGAGACCAATTGCTTGGTGGCTCCAATCACCAAGTGCTGCCAAACAGCTGTTGAATTGCACTATGTGTGTGGCTGGAGGAGCTGCTAGGCAATGGGATATTGGATGGTGGTGATGGTAAGTGCTTGCTCAGCGGTTAGTGCTTTTGTAACAGCAGCAGTGGCATCTAATTGCACATTGGTGGTGTACTGACCTGGGTACAGTTGGCTCAATATGCTGAAGGATCAAGGTAGCCCTTAGCATGTGGGAATGGGATGATGGCCAAGTTGAGTGCTGGTCTGTTTCCTATGGTTTCTGCAGATATGCTTAATCCACTGTGCTGGGCAACCATGATTTCTCTTCATGTATTATCAGGATCTCAAAGAAGTAGACTGCTCTAACTGTTCAGAGGACCTCAGAAATATAATTTTAACATCTGAATGAGATCACTTTGTGAGGATGGGTGAACTCATCCATAAGCATGATGATGATGCCCAGATCTATATCTCAATCGATCATGGATGCTGAGATTTTATCTCAGTGCCTGGATGCTGTGGGGGTCTGGACCAGGAAAAATAGGCTTAGAATCAACTCTTAAACAATAGCTGTAGATTTTGGGGTCATCTGCCCACGGCAGATCTTGGGATCTTGCTAGACTCATTGCTTATGCTCAAATAACAAGTAGCAGTTATGCCTTAGAGGGCCTTTTCATAAATCCATGTTGTGCATTAATTATGCCATTTTCTGAATCAGAAAACCATACCTTTGCTGACACAGCCTTAGTACAACTCCCCTGGATCACTCCAATACGTTTTACTTGTGGCTGCTCTTGAAGACCAGTTGGAAGCTATAGGGATCTAACATGCAGTAGTGAGAGTAGTTATAGGTATACATTAATATACATGTAACCCTGTTACTTTGGACAAGTTAGACTTATTTATTTGTCAAAAACTCAACGTTCATCCTTTATTTTGGTCATTTAATTTTTATTGTACAAATGATACACATTAATGCACGACCTTTAACATTTATGTGAAAAACATGGAAATGGAATTGTCTTTTTAAAATAAATCTATATAGAGTTTGATTTTATATAGTTTTATTAGAATACATGTTTTATAAAGTTTTTCTTGGTTTTGCACTTGAATTTTTCTTTATAAAGTTAAAACATTATTCTTTTTCTATCTTTATCAACCTTTTTTAGGTTCGTCCCTTATTTTTATTTTTTCAAAAAGAAATGGTAACTTTAAATCAGGGGTGTCAAACTCAATTTCATTGAGGGCTGCGTCAGGATTATGTTTGACCTCAGGGGGCCATATGTGCATGGCCAGGGTTGGAGTAGCCAGTTTGACGTTGCTCATGTCAAGGGGCACCTATGGTGGCCTGGGTGGGGCTGGGGGGGAATCCTCCTGCAGCCCTCTGCCAGAGAAAACGGAGCCCTGGAGGGCCACGCACTGCCCTCCTGAGTTCTGTTTTTTGGGCAGAGGCACCATGGGCTGGTCCTTTGCTATTTCCAGGGTGGGCCAGATCTAAGCACCCCGTAGGCCAGATCCGGCCCTTGGCCCTTGAGTTTGACACCCCTGCTTTAAATATATACAAGGCTATAGAGAACAGTGTATCTGTTAAGTAGCTTTTTAAATATAATGTTAAAGATATGGTTGGGCAAAAAACAAATCACTTAACATTTTACTGTTCAGCTTAGTTATAGGTTTCCTCGTAAAATAAACCATTGTTGTTCTTTTTTCTGCTATTAAGAGAGATTCCTGATGAAATTCAACGACTAGTGCATGGAGGTCAAGTTAATTTAGATATGGAAGACCATCAAGAACAGGAATATGTAAGACCTAGGCTGAAGTTCAAAGCTTTCAGTGGAGAAGGTCAGAAACTTGGAAGGTTAGTTTCTTTTTTTAAAAAAAGTCATGTAAAAAGAAATTATACTGAACTGTTATTAATTACAGTTGAAAGTGGGAGTTTAGAGCAACCAGTTCTACATGGGACAAACATGTCAATTAAAAACAAGGATCTACTAATACTGGCTGGCAGTCAAACCTCAAGATTCCAAATCCTTAATCTCTACCGACACCAAAAACAAACAGCACCAGTTTGATTGGAGCAACACAAAAATCATCAGCCATGCTACCACCCAGCATGCTTGTAGTTCATTGAAACCTGGCTCCATAAGCAATTCCATCAACAGACACATTGACCTATAACTAGCCTACAAACTCCTTGGAATCCAAATCAACCACACAGCCAACCAGAGACAGCACCGACCCTCAACCAAGGCATGCAACCCCCACCACCATCACTTTACCTTCCAATGACCCTGACCTGATGTACAAAACCCATTACAAGAATCACAGCTGACCCATCACAATACCCTCATTTGATACACCCACACACAAAGTCCTTATAAATAGAAGAACACTGACATCCTCTAAACTCCACTGAAGGTGTTACTAGCCTGGTAATGAAATGTTTATAAATCAGCCCACAAGCTCAGAAAACAAACCTTCATCCTCATCCTACACCCAAGCTACAGATATTTGCCACTATTACAAAGCAGTTTAGAGTATTGTGGTCTGGGATTTCTAGGAGTTGCAGTACTGATACATTTAAAGGTGCTGTATTGGGGAAGATTATGTATGTATGTATGTTGCTTTTTGCATTTTTTCCCATACCTTCAAACGAGTCTTCACACCCACTGATTGCCTGGACAATTCACTGCCATTTTCTTGGCAAGATTTTTTTGGAAGTGGTTTGCCAATTACCTGTTACATAAGGCTGGGAGATAGAAAATGGTCCAAGCTGCCATCATGCTAAGGCAGTCTTCCAGTTTCTAGGCTGAATGTTAATGTTTACTTAAATTATTCAATATGGAACAAATAATAGCAAATACTTGTCTCAAAAGTATTAAAATAAAAACAGTAGCTAAATATAGTTCATTAAATAGTTAAGGCCATGAAACAATCACATTTTTTACACATATTTTATTAGAATTTCCAGACACGTCAAACCAATTAGTTGAATGTTTATAAACAAATGGATGAGAACTAAATATTCAATCAAGGCGATTCTGCTCAAGAGTTTTTCCCAGAAGAGTAAATCTGCTTGCAATATGTGTTTGCAATCTGCAAAATATTTTTACTCCTGCAAAAGTCATGTTCTTTAAATTAAGTATGCAAGAGTACAAATTTTATTCATAACAGTTCAATAGTTTACATCAGGAATAAGCAACGTAATGCCCTCCAAATTTTCTTGATTTCAAATTTATCAGACAAAATGATTGTGGTAATTTGGAAAGAGCTTTAATGCAAAGCAACTGAGAAGTATTAGGTTACCTATGTCTGGACTATATAATTAGTTTTGTTAAAATATATGCGATACTTACGTTGAAGGAAATTACTTAAAATTTTATTTGCATAAAATGCAGAGGTTCCTATTTGCAACTAAGTGCCATTGGTGAATCTCTTCCTGATAAATGTTCAATTACTCTTTTAGCTGTCTTTCAGTTATTACATATATCTATTTATTCTTTTTCACGCCAGCAGAATGTTGGAAAGGGATCCTGGACTTGGTCTGAAGCTAAGCACAAAGAGACAAAATTTAGTATCAGGAAAGGTCACCTAAAGAAAGATTAAGTTTGAAAATAATATGATTGGAATGCTTCTGGCTGCTTCATTCTTGCAGGTAGCCCTCTATGCAGGTAGCCCTCAACGTACAACCATAATGCAGTCTGCCAGTTATGGTTGTAAGTTGTGATGATCATAAAGTGGATCATCACATGACCATTAAGAGCTTTTTTCAGTTTTCATCAAGTGAACTTTGTAGTTGTTTAGCAAACTTACTTAGAGCATTTTTATCAGAATATGGAAATAAACACCATATTCAGCAAAAACATCATAAATCACCTTCATGTGCCCATGGAAGAAAGTAAACAGGCATATATGCAGGCTATTGAGTTCCCACAACATGGTCATGTGACTGAGAGTGGGGTGGCCATCAGAACTGTGGAACCAAGTTGTAAGTACCTTTGGGAGTGTCTGTCATAACTTTGAATGTTCGCTAAGTGACTGTAGGTCGAGGACTACCTATATGCTTCTGATAACATGACCAGGATCAAAGATGCTAATAAGAGATTGCAAAGAATTCCAGAATCATGCCCTGTATCTTTTCTGTACCTTGTTTTATTTTCTTTTAGCCTTACTCCTGAGATTGTTAGCACACCTTCATCTCCAGAAGAAGAAAACAAACCTTTTCTTGATGCCACTGTTCCAATAGATGCCACTGTACCAACAACTAAGATCCAGATTCGTCTAGCTGATGGAAGTCGTTTAATACAAAGATTTAATCAAACACATAGGTAAGCACTGTAGGATCTTGGAATTGAACAGACGATCTCCAAAATTCCTTCCAATCTTCCATTGTGTAGTACAGTAGCATAAAATTCTGCTGAACCAACAACTAAATTATAAATTTTATTCATGCCAACAGGATTACAGATATACGAAATTTTATTGTCCAGTCTCGACCTTTGTTTGCCACAACTGACTTTGTTCTTCTGACTACATTTCCACATAAAGAACTTACAGATGAAAGCCTGACTTTACAAGAATCAGATATATTGAATACCGTGATATTACAACAGCTGAAATAAATTTTAAGCCTATCAGTGCAAGGCAGATTCTGGGAATAGATAATGTTGCATCAAATAAATGAGGAAAAGACCAAAATAATTCCAACATTTTCCAGTGAAATATAGCAATTGACTTTTAAACCTGTTCAGTCTTCCAGTAACAATTTATTCAAATTGCAGGTCAAAAAGATTTGTTAAACAAATGTTGAATTTGTATTCTTTTTAGTTCAACTTTTTTGAATTCAAGTACTTTATGGAAGAGGGGGAATGGAAATAAAAAGAAACATTGATAGAAAATGTTTAGGAATGTACATTTGATATTTATAGGAATACAGTGAGAGGGGTTGTGCGTGTTTATAGCATGGGATTCATTTTCTGTAAAACTTGAACTATAGAAGAATTTTTCACTGTAGCAGCAATTGAGAACTTCAGTTTCTTAGTCCCATTTGTCACTTATAAATATTTTGTTCATAGGATGATGTCTTTCACTTAGCTAACATGATTTTAACTCAATCTACGAGTTTTATTTTCTTCGCTGTCATTCCCTTTTAATATGTTATTACTAACCGTACTTTCAAGTGCCAGATTGCAGAACAGGTGCAAAGTATTTTTTACTTTTATTCTGTAAACTGGTGTCCTGTTACCAAATGTGAACTCTTAACTTTTATGACTAAATAGAGAAATATAATAAAAAAATTTATATGATTTATAAAGTCTGGTTTAAGAGGGAAATAGTGTGCTGTGTTGTATTAAATAGGTAATTGAGAACCAATTAATAAAGTCACTTTGCAGTATCACTTCTACACTTGGATTTGAATAACAGTGACTCCTTAATATGTACCTTTCAACAACATGTATGTTTGTTTTGAGTATGCAGATTAACTTCTGCAACTGGAAATTATTAGAGGTGTGATCATTGAGCTTTGGATATTACAAAGCATTTCTACTCCAGGTTAATTTGAATGGCTAGTTGATTTTCCAAGCTATTTTCCAAAAACACAAATTATGATTTTGCAAACTTCATAAATCCAAATTAAAGATTTTAGTGGCGTGTTAAATTTAACTTGTTTTTCTGGTTATGCTCTGAAGTAAATAATAAAGAAGAAAATGTGCAACATAGGATGTGTTCATCTTGGAATTTTAACCACAGGTAAAGAACATTGGATTAGGATTCCACTTGTAGTATTTTAAAGCATAGCATCTATAGATATATGGAAAAGTATAGAAATAGAACCATTAAAAAAGTAGTAATAACAAATGCTTGGTTAACAAAGCACAGCAAAATTTATCAACACAAGATTCTACATACAAATTCAACTGTTCCCCAAAAGCACTTAACTATAATTAACTGTCTGAAATTTAAGATGATGTGATAATACATCACACTGTATTTAACTGTATTGCACTTGTATATTTTAATCACAATATATTCGTTTATGAAGAGACAGTTTATAATATTATATCAATAATTATTTGACCAGAATAGTTTTGTTTAAAGTAACAAGTGTTATCAAATGTTAAGGATTTTTAGTGGCAGCTTTTCAGAAAGCCGCCTTGCACTACACAGCTCATTCCTCAGCCAAGATATTTTTTCCTCCCTTTTAATCTAGATTTATGAAAATATATTCAAAGATGTAAGCATCTTTGTAGTATTTTTTTTCTTCAATTTTGTGCCCAGGAATCCAAGCCTATCAAGAAGGGAAGTTTTATTTAAGTATAAGATATAATGCTTAAGTGTAAATTTTAAGTAGGGTTAACTCCGGATTTCTACAACTCTTTTTGTAACTGGTACAGACTACTTTAGTTTTCAAAGACATAAAAAAAAATTAAAAGTGAAAAGATGTTGAAATGAAAGCAAGATTTTGAAAGTAGAATATGTGCATAATTAAACTAAAAACAAATTACCATTATGTTGTAATTAATAAAGAACATGTTTAAATTACAATATTTCTGTATATTTTTCGTATTTATTAATTTGAAAAACAAATGGTTCAATCTGCTCCTGCCTTAAATTTGAGGGTCAAAGTTCATAAGACAATTAGAACTTTTAACTGATTTTGAAGAAAATGCATAATAAATTGCCAAATTTCAAATGTTCAACTGACTTGCAGTAAATATGAAAAGCAAGAAGAAAATGCTATAATAGAAAGTCCTGTTTGCTCCATATATGAAAACATGATACATTTTCAGTTTCAGTATAATATTGTTACACATACAGTATCTTTTTTGCCAATGCATGTTTGTGTTTCCCTATTAATCAAACAGCTGATACAAGGAAAATATTATGAAGTTAATTGAGATATACTCAATTAAATTCCCACTGAATTATGGTTATTTTATTTTGAGCTAAGCTTGAATTGATTCAGTCCATCAGTTAAATTTGAAATGATCCCATTCACAATAATGGAAAAAGTTTGGTTTATATTCAAGTACTCTGCTTTATCTCATCTGGTTTATAATCATAATAAATAATAAACCCCTCCAACATGGAAGTTGTTTCAACCTTTAGTTCATGCAAATGTATATATTTATCACAATATTGTGAAATATGAGATAATGAAGACTGCAATGGGTACTACAGCTTGAGCTTTTATTGTCAGAGACAAAGTCCAATGGTTGAATATTAATCTTACATAAAATCTAATTTTGATTGAAATTAGGTATCATCTATGAAAGAACCAAGATGCATAAGACTTCATTGATAATTATTTTCTAGTGATACGTCAGTTAACTTCTCATCAATACTTAGCGAATTCAATTGTAATCTCAATAACTTTATTATAGTACTACAATATCTATTATCTATACTAGTTTATAATATTTTCAATAAAATAAATTCACTTCATAGTTCCTGCTGCATAGTTGTTCAAAGCATAGTTGTTCAAATGGTTATTAGTCATGAGATGATTGTACCTAGCTTGCCTTGACATTGTATATGTCCATAATCTTGGCTTCTTTCAGCCAAGAAACATCTTGCACAAGACCACAAAAGATGGAATTGACACAGGAGTTCTGCAACTCAAATTGTCAACATCTCAAAGGATCCTTGCTTTCTAAAGAAAAACATGCAGGTGGAATTCAGCCAAGTCAATAATATTTTGTGCATTTCACAAACTAAGAACATTGTCAGAAGGTGATTTACAGGAATTTTCAGTTTCTTTCTCCTATTTTATGACTAGAACAAGATTTCTGTAATATACTAGATTATCCTTGTGCCAAAAGTAGGATGTTCTTAAGAGACTCAGTCACAAACAGAACATTCACTGAATGTTCATATTATACCAATGCTTTTTTATATTGATTTTTGTCCATTAACATCAATGGCTCAGCAAACTGGATTATAGTTTCAGATACTAAACCACGTTTATTAGTCTGTAATGTGGAATGTACAACAATTCTAATTGTGCCCCCCCCCAAAAAAAAACTTTTCTTCTGCAGAGAAGTTCTTTGGAACTTGTTTTTGAATTTTAACTATTATAAACAAACTGCTTGTGGAAATTCAACACTGAAATGCCTTCAAAATGATTTTATTCTGCAATAATGTTGACACAGCTGCTTTTTGATAGATTTTCAAATTCAGAGGATTATTGTGTCACCTTTTTTGTTGCTGTTGCCAATGATAAATTACTATTTTAGTGGGATTTTTCTTAAAATTTCCTTCAGTTTCCTTTAAGTAAGTGACAGTTCCTACTACTAAGCCAAGGACCTAAAACAGTGCTTTTTTTTCAAAGTAAGTAAAAGAAAAATCTAAAACAGGAAATAAATAATTCCAAGATCCGTTATAGTCCAATCTAATGGAATTGCAAAAGGTGCAGGACAGGTACATTAACTTGCTTAATGGTAACTTCTATTCTTAACCTAAAAGATAATGGGGACTCAGAATATTTGTACTGACTAATGTATTTTCTCCACATTGAGAACTTCTGGACATAAGATGACAGATATTTTTCAAATCAAATGAACATTAGTAGAAGTATATTAGTATATTTGTACAGTCCTCGACTTACTACAGTTCAAATGACCGTTCAAAATTACAACAGCACTGGAAAAGGTGACATGATCATTTTTCCCAGTTAACCACTTTGCAGCCTCCCCATGATCTTGTGATCAAAGTTCAGATGCTTGGCAACTAGTTCATATTTACGATGGTTGCTGTATATCAGCGTCATGTAATCACTTTTTGCAATCTTCTGACAAAGTCAATGGAAAAGCCAAATTCCCTGATTGCTAACTTAACAACTTCAGTAATTCACTTAACAACTGTAGCCAGAAATGTTGTAAAATGGGACAAAACTCACTTAACAAATTTCTCACTTAACATAAATTTTGGGCTCAATTGTGGTCGTAAATCAAGGACTACCTGTGGTTTAGGATTGAACCGTGGAGTATTTGATGATCTCTGAGCTTGGGAATTTTCTTGCAGACATTTTATTACCTAACTACTGTAAGGTAAAGATAAAGGTTCCCCTCACGCATATGTGCTAGTCGTTCCCGACTCTAGGCGGTGGTGCTCATCTCTGTTTCAAAGCTGAAAAGCTAGCGCTGTCTGAAGACATCTCCATGGTCATGTAGCTGGCATGACTAAACGACGAAGGTGCATGGAACGCTGTTACCTTCCCACCAAAGGTGGTTTCCACTTACCTTTTTACATTTGATTTCAAAATACAGCAATATTGTCAGAAATTCCCTCACTTCCCAATATGTTTATTGTCTAACCTCATCTGATTAAAATAATCCAGGCCTTTATATTGCTCTTGATTTAATGCTATGTGTCTAATTTGGTGATGTTTCCCACTATTTGATTGGAGAGGGTGAGGAAATCACTTCAGTTGTCCAAAGGTTCAAGGATAATTGATGATATATTTTGCTGTATTAGAGATTAAAAATGCCTATTATATCAAAAATCCTTGACTGATACCAGTCAAGGCTATATACTCAAGGCTGAACACTTAAGGCCAGTGCTTATCAATATAATCACCGTGTTACATGCAGCTTTATCTAGGATGTTGTAAGAAAAAATTACCACATGTATTTCTGTTAGGCAGAGACAATAGCCTCAGGCTTAAGCTACATTAACACGCAGCTAGTCTCTCTGTTTCAGTTGTCCATTTACAAAGAATTTGGAATTAGGGGAAAGAGCATTTTACTTGTACCTTATGCCACTAAATTATGGAATTCTCTGCCATTAGGCATAATGATGGCTATAGTTTTAAACTGTTTTCAAAGGACAGTGCTCAATTTTAGTTGAACTACTAACAGCTCTTAGTTTTCATGTGCATTTACCACTCCTGAATCTAAGGTAAAATATTTGAATATCAACTGTTGGGGAGTCGCAATGGAAAATAACCATATTACTCCTGTCCTTGCTAGTAAGTTTCCTAAATGGAGCATTCACGTAAAAATCAAATAGAGTTTTGATTGCAGCATTTTAACTTTTTTTACCACATTTTTTCAACATCCTTGCTTTGACCTGCTCCAGGCTCCAACCCTCTTTTTATGTTTCTCAGACCTTCTTTTCCTTCAGATTATGAAATATGTAAATTAATAACTGGATGGAAATGAAATTCTTGATGCCCGTGTTTACATCTTTAAGGACATTCTGGTAATATCTTTGTTTTCATTCCATGAATGGAATATCCATGATCTTTCCCTTACTAGTCCCAGCCTGCATAATCCAGTTCCAGGAAATTCTATATCATTTGAGACAAGTGACTGTCCAGTCTCTTCTTAAAAACTTCCAGTGATGAAGCAACTACAATGTCTAAAGGCAAGCTGGTTAATTGTCCTCACTATCAGGAAATTTCTCCTTAATTCCAGGTTGCTTCTCTCCTTGATTGGTTTCCATCTGTTGTTTCTTGTCCTGCCCTCTGGTGCTTTGGAAAATAAATTAACCCCCTACTCTTTGTGGAAGCCTCTCAAATACTGGAATATTGCTATCATCCCCCTAGTCCTTCTTTTCTCTAGACTAGCCAAACCCAAATGCTGCAACTGTTCTTCATATGTTGTAGTTTCTAGGCCTTTGATCATCTTAGTTGCTCTTCTTTGCACTTTTTCCAAAATCTGAACATCTTTTTTGTAATATGATCACCAAAACTTGATGCAATATTCCGGATATGGTCTTACTAAGGATTACTAAGGATTTATAAAGTTGTACTAATCAATGGTGGGTTTCCACATTTTTTACAACCAGTTCGCTCGCATGTGCAACATTTCTGCGCATGCGCAGAAGTGTCTGGGCAGGTGGAGCCTCCTTCCATCACTACTAATATCTGGGCCAAACCAGGAGCAACTCACCTTTGATACTAATACTTCATATGATTTTGATTCTATGCCTCTGTTTATACAACCAAGGATTGTATTAGCTTCAACAGAGGGAAAGAATCGTGTGAAGTGCTAGTACCACTTTATACTGCTTTGGTAAGGTCATACCTGGAACATTGCATCTAGTTTTTATCACCACAGTACAAAAAAGATGTTGAAATTCTGGAAAGCGTGTAAAGAACAACAAAGATGATTAGGAAGCTAAAATATACAAAGAATGGTTTCAGGAATAGGTTATATCTAGTTTAATGAAAAGAAGGATTAGCGGTGACATGATACCAGTGTTCAAATACCTAAAGGGTCCCAAAGAAAGAGTGGTCAGGCTATTTTTCAAAGCATCTGAAGGTAGAACAAGAAGCAGTGGATAGATGAGGAGCAGCCAGGAAGAAGGTTCCCCATAGCAAATTCATATTAAGATCAGTGGGGTGCATGTTAACTGTGCAAAAATAGGATAGACAATTTCTTGTTCTTATCTTGAAAGCCATTGTTGAATATTTTAGGGCTGCATTTGAGAAGGAAACTATCTATGGTTAAGAGGAAAGCAGCATGTCCAAAGTGAAAAATCTGTTTTCCTTAAGTTTTATCCACCCTTTTTTACTATATTGAGCATTGGAACCAATAACT